CTGCGCATGAAAATAATATATAATAAACAACATCACACTCCAGCTACTTTGCACCGCGAAGAAGTAAAGCTAAAGCAAGAACACCAACAAGACTAGAGCGTAATATCTTTCCCCCAATCGAGTGCGTCGCTTTTTTAGCTTGTATTCATCGCTTCTCAAAGAGCCTGAGCTTTTGTTTTGTCTCTCAAGAGTCCCCCGCTAAGTTTTGACTTGTGCACTGCAGCACTCAAGAACCACACGGTAGAAACGACTTTGATTCATATTTGCGAACCACGACAACTTCTACACTGCAGCACTCAAGAACTACACGGTAGAAACGACTTTGATTCATATTTGCGAACCACGACAACTTCTACAGCCGAAGGCTACATCTTCAAATTCACGTAAGTAACTGCACAGGCATAGCTTAGTGCTCGCGCTTCTACGTTGCCCTCCGACGACGTCCACCAAATACTAATAGCCGTAAGACGTGGCTCTGTATTGTTTTGCTCCAGTTTCTAGCTGCGTTTTAATATTTTTTCAAGTTTATTTTTTGTCAGGAACAGGAAGGCACTGCGACGTCGCACTTTCTATTTGTTTTTGTTGCGAAGAAAAAAATTAACAAAAAAAATGTTGGCGTCGCGGCGCGTGATTGCCTCTTTGCTCCTTGTAGGATCGACCGCTTGTCGTGGTGCCTTTACAGCGCCTTCTTCGTCCTCAAGTCTATCCTATGTGAAAACGTCCCCACCCCATAATTGCCATGTGCTTTATTTTGGTCTCTTCCAGTTGTACATAAACGCCCCATGGTTGTCATGCAAATCTGCATGCTTAAATCTATAAATGAAAATGTTTGCGTTTCTCATACGGAGCCCCATGAGAAGCGTTTTCTAGTCGTGTTTCGGAATTAGTGACGCAGCTCCGATCAGGATAATAGACTAGATCTGTCATGCTGTTGAACTAGCGAAATCGAGGATTGTACTACGAGGCCAATAAACTTGTCATGCGGAGCAAACAAAGCTGGTAGATTTGTCTACGCACATTTCCCATCTTAAAACTATGAGGAGGGGACGGCTTTGCTGAGGATATTGAAGTCGCTCCAGTATTTTTTCCCGCCCAGTCGTGGCGTCTAGTACAACGTCGCACGAATCTCGTGGAGGTCGTACTAGGCGCGGGCGCAGTGCCAGCGCCAAGCCCAAGGAGCACCTTCCCCGAGACGAGGACCACTTTGACCGCGAGAAGCCGTGCGCGATTTGTCTTCAGCCGATGAAGGAGGAGGATAGCGTCTTTATCACGCACGTTGACCCGCAGAACCAAAACGAGGTGGACGCGACGGCCACGCAAGAGCATATCTTTCACCGGGACTGCGTCAGCAGGTGGTTGGCTACACAGAGAAGTTGCCCCATTTGCCGCGACTCGCGCGGGATCCGCGGAAAGCCGATGCCGATTCTTTCCACGGCCCCACGACCTGTACTGAACTCCTCCAGAGCTGCTGCGACTGCGCGCGATGTTAGTCGCAGGAGCGAAGCCGACTTTCGGGCCGCGCGGGCAAGAGCACCGCAGCGGACCTACCAGAGGGACCTTTGGAATGCCTTTTTTACTCCCGGCAGAAACGACGACGCCTCCGCCGGCAGCTCCGTCGACGATCTTCTGGGTTTGCAGCTGGAGCGAAGGCGCCGAAATTGGGAAGGCGCCAGCGCTGTTGGGCCTACTTCTATCAACGTCTACTCGAATTCCGGGGGGCACTCCAGGCAGGCCTACCATTCTGACGCCGATGCTTTCGAATTATTCCAGCACCGAGCCGGCCTTCGTGGGGCGATTGCATCCAGCAGTATGCAGCCTGCTGGAACAACCCAAGCCGCAGGGGGAATAGACTCCCTAGGCTCCCCTCTTCTTACGTTTGTGCGCGATCTTTTTGTCAACAGGCGGGAAGATGACCTCCTTGGCAACGGAATTTCCCCGCGCCTCCGTGAAGAGCTCGAGGACCTCCGATGGAACTTCCTTGGGAGGATGCCACGGGGCAGGGACTTTGACAGGAACTGGAACGCCGTGAGCCAATATGAAAAAGCGCAGCGGCTGTCCCGTGCGGGGCTGGGCCCGCACTACGCAGCGCTGCAGCGGCAGCGGGCAATGGCTGCGGGG